TGTCCAAGCCTGGATTTAGCATGCAGCTAAGGCAACGCTGAACGGGTGTCCCTTCAGAGGAGAAATCATTCCATTCTGAAGTGCTGACAGTATGGAAAATCCTCATTAGGTTACGCCACAATGCTTCTCCCAAGCTATCTTAATGCAAAATACGGGACAGAGAAATCTGAGCTATCTCACAACTTAAGGGATCTGGGCTGCATGATGTGGACCAACTGCCACATCCCATGGCTTCGCTACAAATATTATGGGTAATTAAAGAGTAGCAACAACACTTGAGTATTTTTTGGGATATCTCTTGGTGGGCTGTGTTTCTTGAGAATGGAAAAGGAATAGCGTGGTCAGTTCTTCAGAGGTTTTGGTTGCTTCCACACCAGCCCTTATCTCCTCAAGGATCATCCTTTGTATGGAAATATGAGATGACTGGACACTTACTGAACTCGAAGCATGGGAACCCCCAACAAAAATTTATAATTTGGCAAAATATTGGGAGTTTATTATATGTATTGGTATAATTTGGAATAATTAATGTGATCTGATTGGATTGTTAAATGGAAAACTTAATAAAAATTATAATTATTATTATTTTTTTTAAAAAGGATCATCCTTTGTATGGATGCTCCAGAAAAAAGTGACTGAGCAATGTTCTTTGTCAAACCATTGCAGTATTGTGTTTTCCATGGAGCTCTCGTTTTATCACACTTTCTGCTGCTGATGACACAGTTACAGCTGCAAAAGTCCATCCTGTGTGTGAACTGTTGAAACTTTTGGGGGTTCCTATGCCTAAATTTAATATTTTCATTTTGCAAGTTAAGCCCATTGTTTCCTGTGGGTTGCTTTAAAGGCCTATAGCCCTAGGGAAGGCATGTTATAAAGGATCATAGAACCTTACTGATTTCCATGGGCAGATGCCCCCCCCCTTGGGAGCCCCTCCCCCTCCTCCCATCACTGTGGAAACTGTCGGCATGCAGAGGGTTGAAAGACCAGCTGGCTAGCCCCAGCTGGGTCATTTCCTTCCAGCCGTCCTGCTGTGAAGACCCATCAGCCTCTAAAGGTACCCCTGCCTGTACGGGCCAGTCTTGACAGACTCTAGGGTTGTGTGCCCATCTCACTCAAGAGGCCGGGGGCCAGCGCTGTCCGGAGACACTTCCGGGTCACGTGGCCAGCGTGACATCGCTGCTCTGGCGAGCCAGAGCCGCACACGGAAACGCCGTTTACCTTCCCGCTAGTAAGCGGTCCCTATTTATCTACTTGCACCCGGGGGTGCTTTCGAACTGCTAGGTTGGCAGGCGCTGGGACCAAACAACGGGAGCGCACCCCGCCGCGGGGATTCGAACCGCCGACCTTTCGATCGGCAAGCCCTAGGCACTGAGGCTTTTACCCACAGCGCCACCCGCGTCCCTCTGCTCCGATGTAAATCAGTGACCCAGGCTTCAAAGCCAGGGCACACTATATCAGCAGAGCAAACTGTGCACACAGCATAGGCGTGAGGCTTGTGGAAGCATACTACAACTACGGATTTATTAATCATAAATCAGGACAAACATGTCGTCTCTCTCTTTGTCTTCTCGGCGAGAGAGACAGTCTAAAGCAAAAGCTATACACACAACGGAAGTTCCCAGCAGACTGTGCTGGTATATAAACAGACATGTGACACGTAACAGTTCCATGTCTGCAACTAAAGGTGGAATGGAATTTCCCAACAGAAACCACCAAATCTGACTTGACATATAGCACTTCCCTGTGTTCCTATGCTTGAATCCATGTAGGTCTTAACTCAGACCAGTTCTAGAAAGTCCCCCAGGAGAGAGTGTCTATAAGCTGATAGTGTGTTTCTTCTTCACTAGACAGTAACCAACCACCATCTACCCCTGTACAGTAGGAAAATTAGGGCAGCTGGATCAAACGGTGTGATTTCCAGGCAAGTTTCATTCTTGTCACCTTAAATTTTATATTGTTAAGCTTGAGCTGGACCACAAGGTTATTCCTTGTAGCAAAGAAAGTCTCCTTCTTTCCTCTCCTGGTTCCTAATGAAAGGAGAAATTGCAGCACTAGAGTTAGACTGAAACACATTCGGATATATGGCATTTATTTGGATCCCTGTCCTCCCCAGCTACCTACCCCTAGAAACATAGAATCATAGAGTTGGAAGGGATCCCGGGGATCATCTAGTCCACCCCCTGCAATGCAGGAATCTCAGCTAAAGCATGCATGACGCTTGGCCATCCAGCCTCTGCTTGAAAACCTCCAAGGAAGAAGAGTTTGCTGTCTCCCAAGGGAGACTCACTGAGGATTCATCCTTTCATATAGAAACACATATACACAAGTTGCTGAAAAAGCAAAACAACAACAACAACAACAACAAAACCCTAAAAAAAAACTAATGGGGAAGAGAAGCATAAATAACCAAGTTATTCTTTTCTGATTTCTTTCCAGAAATTAAATAAAATAAATCTGTAATGTAATTTCCAGTAGGAGTGCATTCCCTTAATACAATTTCGATTGGCTGACCCTATCAGACACAACATCTCCTTTGCTGAACAAATTGGCCATAGGTCTTCTCTCTTAACTGGCTCAGTGATCACAAATGCAATCAAAACATGCCACAAGACTTTTTTCCTCCAGCCTGTTAGAACTTGGAGTGTTGCCAGACACCAATATAGAAATGAGAAGGGGGAGAATAGGACTTGTGCACATCTCTGGGGGTACTGTACAAATACATTAACCTTAGAAATGAGACAGAAGGGAAGAGGGAGGTCAATCTGCATTTACCACTAACTCCCATTTTCTAATCTGAGCTGCTTTTGTCTGGGCAAAGTAAATTGCAGAGTTCTCTAATGGATTTAGCAGACATCCGCTATTCACTACTGGTGAACTGACAAAGACTTCACATTTCACATTTGTCTTCTTCACACCGTCTTTCTGCCAGCAGCACATAGCGAAGGTTCAGTAACTTGAGCCCTTAATCAAATGTTTCCCGGGAACATGTAATTACTCTGCAGCAAATGGCTCTTGAGGAAACTGCTGCCTGTGTGTTCCCAACCTGGTGCCCTGCAGGGACTAGCAGAAGCTCTAGCCTTCCTTAACCATTCCTAGAGAGGCCAAGGGATTGGGAAGCTCTGAGTGCAAATCATGTGTTTTCTACTACTGGGCGACGCTAAGGACATAGCTAGTTCCTTTGCTTTTGGAAGAAATTAAAATAAAAACTGCTAATCTAATCATATGATGCAAATACCAAAGGGGTGGCCTTTGGTAATACGGCATCCTGAGTGAGGACAAAATTTGGCACCCCCTCTAAATATTTCTTATTTTCACAATAATTGAGTAGGTACCTGTATAAATCTAGGTGTTATTATACAGTGGTACCTCGAGTTACATATGCTTTAGGTTACATACGCTTCAGGTTACAGACTCCGCTAACCCAGAAATAGTACCTCGGGTTAAGAACTTCGCTTCAGGTTGAGAACAGAAATCGTGCAGCAGCGCCCCCTCTAAATATTTCTTATTTTCACAATAATTGAGTAGGTAGCTGTATAAATCTAGGTGTTATTATACAGTGGTACCTCGAGTTACATATGCTTTAGGTTACATACGCTTCAGGTTACAGACTCCGCTAACCCAGAAATAGTACCTCGGGTTAAGAATTTCGCTTCAGGTTGAGAACAGAAATCGTGCAGCAGCGGTGCAGCGGCAGCAGGAGGCCCCATTAGCTAAAGTGGTACCTCTGGTTAAGAACAGTTTCAGGTTAAGAACGGACCTGCGGAACGAATTAAGTACTTAACCTGAGGTACCACTGTACCTGTAAGAGTTCCTATATACCTGGAACTCACCATGGATGCCTCCCTTGTTCTCTTATAATGGCAAGGCCCCCCACCTGAGAGGTGCCGGAACTGTGTTCCAGCAAGTTCTGGCTGAAAAAAGGGCCCTGGTGGTGGTGGTGGTTGTTGTTGCTGCTGTTGTTGTTTTGTGCCCTCTTGGCTCAGTGCCCTATGCGCTGGAACCGCCCGCACCATCCTAAATCCAGCACTGCTGCATCAGACTCCATAAACCAAATAACAAAGAATGACCGCTCCCACAGAGTCCATTCAGATGCTATGCCCAGGGCTTTTTTTCCAGCTGGAACTTGCTGGTACCTCTGAGGTGGGTGCCATTGCCATTCTAAGAGAACAAGGGAGGTGTTCATGGTGAGTTCTGGCACCTCTTCCTCTATAAAAATAGCACTGGCTGTGCCACTTCCATGCTGGAACACAGCACGGCGGCAGGGCAACCTTCCACTTCTCTCACAGAACATCTAAGGACACAGGCTGCAGGCCACGCCCACTCTGTGTGCAGGCTTAGACCACTTCGTGTACTGCTCCAAGACCTGCCCGGGGCTGCCGTTGCTCAGTGGTGAGTTGGGAGGGAGCCAGAAAGGAATCTAGTCTACTCTTCCCTCCCCTCCACCCTCCTTTGTTCAAGTTTACACAGTAGGGACCCCAGGGCTGGCTAAAGACATTTTTGCACCTGATGCAAATGATTAAATGATGCTCCCCTCCCCAGCAGGGTAGAAGGGATAGGTGTAGATCTGTATCAGGAACAAGGAGGGACTATAGATGCACATCGGGATCTGCTGCCCCTGTGGATCCTACCACCTGAGGCGGTTTCTTTGCCTTGCCTCATGGGTGGGATGGTCCTGATGGACACCCTGTTTCTTGCTTCTGCACATACAGTACGCATGTCACCCCCAAGTGGTCATGCAAGTTAGGGTCATTGGGCACGTTCCAGGGAAAATTCGGCACACTGAAGGCTGCTGAAATTAAGAGTGGAATTAAATGATGTCCTGCTGAGCTCCATTGACTTACGTTTCCTTAAAATTCACAATACTGTAAGTAATTCAGATAAGAAATATCCATCCCACTGTCTTTTGTTTTTAAAACTCTTACCACATATCTTTAGCATAAATCTGCATTCACACTGTAATCCACGCACCTATCCATGTGGTAAAAACGTCTGCATAACTGTTGGTTTTACTTTAATTTTTATTATAATTGTATAATATCTTTCTTATTCAACTCCTATGGAAGTAACAGAACATAACAACGATAGCTGTTGTTATACATGGGTTCATGTACTTCAAACAAACATTTTAGACCGTTAAAGAAAAGGAAAACATGAATATTGACAGATATGAAAAGAATGTCCTATCTTAATTCTCTTAAACCTGAATTCACACGTCACTGTATGAAGAATTTACTCAGAGGTTTATCTAAATTTAAGATAACTTCCACATGTATCTAACTCAGTATACTTCCAACATGAAATTTTGCTCTTTAGTATCTGTTAGAAAGGAAATCAGTAATTATCTCAAATGCTTTCAAAGATACCATAACCATCTCTGACCAATCCACTTGGAATATATATATATATATATATGCATATATACATACAAAATCTATACAACATATAATCTGAATAACACGCTATGGGATGACTCCTATCAGCTATACAAATAGGAATATATACACAAGTGGCTGTGTTCACATTAAACCATGGTTTAGCACAACAAATAGAAGCTGGAAGGATCCTGAGCAAGGTTTGGGCATGTGTGCTTTCCCTCCCCTCTCTACCTTTGATTAGCCTGAAGGGAGGATTTCAGCAGTGATTAATTTCAGTTCCTCTTAAACTCTGCTTGTTCTGGAATATGAACTGGAATATGAACCCAGGGCAGTTTCAAAAACCACCCGAACTCAAACCATGGGTTATAAAACTGGCTTGTTTAAACTAAGCATAGTGCAAACCACGATCCCCAGTTCACATGCAATGGAAACCTGAGATTAAGAGAAAGTAAACACTGCTGAAGTCCTCCCTCAGACCATGCAGACAGAAAAATGGAGGGAATGTGTGAACCCAACAATCACCTGGGCTCATTTCAGCTCATGCAGGTCACATCTAAACCATGATGACGTATGAACGTGGCCAATAATCCTAACTGTTGTACAAAGCTGAGACTGGAAAGCAATTTCTAGGTAGAAACCAGTAGAACTGAGTATCAGGTGCATGAGAAAGCAAGAAACACTTCCTGGCATAACAACTAAAATGAAAGTTGATGGTAGCAGTTTTGCAACAATAGTCTCTAAGGCAATTCTAAGCTTTTCAAGGTGCAAACCTCCATTCCGTTGCATAATTCAGAATGCAGATTTCAGGCGTATTAGACACAGAATATAGTGTTATACGTCTACGAACTTGGCAGGAACATGGTGTAAGGGGCAGTAGGACTTTGTTTTCGAGAGCTTGCCCCACATGAGTCAAGCATCCCAAAGTAATAATCTGACGCTGAAGAATTCATTATATACAAGTGTTGACTCCCTTTTGAATTCTTCCATTTCAGTCACTCTCGATATATTTCAATCTATTTACATCTCTCACATGGTTATACAATTTCTGTTTCTAAGGCTATATCCACTTAACCTGGGAGTACTTCCAAGTTGGCATACATAGAATTGCAATGTAAATAAAGCTAATCAGTTCCTCGATCTGGTTCTCTTCCACTTAACTAACAGTGCCATCCTATGCATCTCTATTCAGAAGTAAGTCCCAGTGAGTTTAATGGGACTTACCCCCACATAAGTACTCATTGGATTGCAGCCTAATTGCCCCAAGTCAATATATACAAACCCGGGACTTCTCACTTGAACACGATTGATTCATGCAGCTAAAGCATGTACAAAGTTCACATGGTAATGAAAATAACCCCATAAATAGTCCTTATAAACACTGCAACCAGAATATGCTTTGTGTTTATACTGGAAAAAATATTTTTTAAAAAAAAACAAAAACACCCGAAGAGCTTATCTGTAGGACTAGGAGTGCCAAGTTGAGGTATAATTGTGTTTTTATGAAGTAACAGTATTGAAGTAAAATACAGTATTCCGGTTATTTGGTTTTCCTGTTGTGAAGAGGAACTCCTGTAAGCAGCCATGGAAAAGGTAAGTCTTAACTGTGAATGTTGCGTGACATTTCTCTACTAAGACAGGATTCAGTGGTCCTATTTTCTTCCAGTGTGAGCCAATTTAAAAACACATCTCCAATCACCACGAGCAGCAGGACATTGGTTGTTGTTTTTTATCATAGAGATGGGTTGCTTGTCTATTGCTCAGTCTTGGGTTGATGGTAACATAGCACCTGATGTATGGATGTCGTACGTGGGATACTCACATATTACAGGGCTCACTTTTCATGTAAAGTATCGACACTCTGTAGAGTCAATATTGCAAAACGAAGTGCAGCGTAATTTTCCATAAGACCTAAGACAGAAGATGAACACACACCAGTCATTATTACACATGGCACTTTTTTTACCAGCTGATTTTTATATCTAATTTCTATTAGGGCGTCCACAGATGGATTTTGAATGCAGCGTTTTGCAGTGAGGCAAATACGTTAGACAGAGGGATGTTCGAAAAAGGCTGCGCAGAGACATTTGCCGCAGAGACATGATTTGCGGCACAAAATAAAGTACAATTTGCAATAACATTGCCAACTGAACACTTAATCAATACAGTCCAATATCAAGCTTTGTTTTAACCTATATCTCATTATGCATCCAATTAACAGGATGCAATATGAAGGGCAATATGAAGTTATTTGCAGATTCACAAAGCACAATTATCACAGCTGCTGTCATGTCTGGAAATTTGAAAACCCTGAAATAAAGGCCTCGGTTTTCAAAATCTTGACCAAATATCAACCTTTAACGTGTATACATCTTATGGTTGCTTTCCTAAAATGTCTGTTTATCGAGTCCCATTGATGTAAAAGGTGCTGTAAGGAGTTAAATTACATCCTGAGAGTTAATACAGACGAGGGTTTGCAGAACTGACTCTTGTGTTTTCTTTATTCCTGCCAATTAACACATTACTCTTTCAGGAGCCATGAGAACTCTGCAGATAATTTCATTTGCAAATGGAATGTTTCCTGTAAGATCGTAATGATACCTGACAGCTACAGCTATTGCAGGTAAAATACTGCTGACCAGAAGAAGCTATTAATACTGTGATGGGATGATGAGCTGCTTGTGCGTAAAATGCAAGTCCCTCAGAGTTTGATCAGGTTTTCAAACCTCTGCCTGTGACGGAGCCCCTCCGGCATGGCTGCGTCAGTCGCTAGCAGAATCCGAAAGTGGTTGCTTTCGGAATCGTTTCCAACATAAAAGCTCCTTAACGGAAACACGTCTTCTGGACTCTCGGCGTGACAGTTTCCGGCGAGGAGTGGGTGTCCCTATAGGAGGTCCTGAGACCTCCCCACTGTTTTCGCTGGAAGCGTCTCTGAGCCATCCCTCCGACTCACTTTCCCTTGGAGTTCCTCCTCTCCCCCTACTGGTTCCCTCTTCAGCTGCTATGTCTCTCTCAACCTCAGTGAGCCTTTGCACCTCCTGTCCTTCCGATGGCAGTTCCCTGACAAATACCAATGCATGCAAGTCAGATTACAAGCAAACAAAGGCCCCAGCTAAAGTCACATTTACATCATACATTTAAAGCGCATGGCTTGCCCCAAAGAATCCTGGGAACAGTAGTTTTCTAAAGGTGCTGGGAATGGTCATTCTGTGAGGGGTAAACTACAGTTTCCAGGATTCTTTGGGGGAAGCCATGGATGTATGGTGTGGGTGTGACCTCAATTTCCTGCTGGACTAAAGAGAAGCACTACAGCTCTGTACAGCATGAATATGTTTTTAGCTCGCTCCAGTGTACCTCAGTGAGCCTTTGCACCTCCTGTCCTTCCGATGGCAGTTCCCTGACATCCACCTCCCCTCCAGGGCCCCCTTCACCCCCTCCTGTCTCCTCCCCTACGGGCGGTGAGGAGGTAAAACCCCTGAAAGAACCTCCCTCATCTTCCGAAGTCTCGAACACTTCCCTCCACTTGTTGCTGTCCCTGGTCACTCGGTACTCCTCGTCATCGGAGTCCATTCCCTCTTCCAACTCCGAATCCGCGAATCCTTCCAGTTCCTCTTCCTCGTCGGTGGTGCCGAAATACTTCCTCCTAAACCTTGCTACAGGCTGAGGTTTCCTCGGGAATCTTTGGTGGAACGTTTCTATTAAAACCTCGTCATCGACCTCCCCTGCAGTCACCCAGGTGTTTTCTGACTCCGGTTCCCCTTCCCACGCCACCAAATACTCCACCTGATTTCCCTTCCACCTGGAATCGAGGATTTCCGCTACATGGTTGCTGTTTTCCCTTTCTTCCAAGGCGGGTTCCCTGGCGTGCTCCCCTTCACGTCCCCCTCTGTACGGTGACAGTAACGACCTGTGGAACACTGGGTGCAATTTCATGTGGTTGGGCAACCGGAGTTTGAAAGCCACTGGGTTGATCTGCTGAATGACCTCAAAGGGTCCCAATCTTTTGGGTCTCAATTTCTTACAACCCCCTTTGAACGGCAACCCTTGGGTTGACAGCCACACCTGATCCCCCACCCTTATGGTTTCACCTTCCCTTCTGTTCTTGTCTGCCTGCTTCTTATATTGTGCCTTGGCCCTTTCTAAGTTGAGCTGGAGCTGATGATGGATCTCTTCCATCTCTTCTACAAAATGTTCGGCCGCTGGGACGCTCCATCTCTCCCCTCCATCCCCTGGAAATGCCCTGGGGTGACACCCGTAATTAGCCAAAAAGGGGCTCCTCCCTGTGGACACATTCTCCGCATTATTGTAGGCAAATTCTGCCAGCGCCAACTTTTCGACCCAGTCGTTCTCTCTGTCATTGACATAACACCTCAGATATTGTTGGAGGATGCCATTTGCTCTTTCCGCCTGCCCGTTGGTTTCAGGGTGCCGGGCAGTCGAAAAATTGACTTCCACGTGCAGCAAGCTCATGAGCTTCCTCCAGAACCTGGAAGTAAATTGTTTGCCCCTGTCTGAGATCACCCTCAAGGGGGCGCCGTGCAACCTAAAGATGTGTTCTACAAACAACTTCGCGGTTTCTTCCGCTGTGACTGCATGTGAGCATGCTACAAAGTGGCACATCTTAGTTAACAGGTCTACTACTACCATGATGGCTGTTTTCCCCTTGGACTTCGGCAGATCCGTCATAAAATCTATCGATACCGCTTCCCAGGGCCGTTCGGGCGTGGGTAATGGTTCTAATAACCCTGCCGGCGCCCTTCTTTCCCCTTTGGCTCGCTGACATTGGTCACACCCTCTTACATACTCCCTTACATCTTCCCTCACCTTGGGCCACCAAAATTCCCTGGTAACCAACCACATGGTCTTGTGTTGCCCAAAATGTCCCGCCGTGGGGCTATCGTGCAACTGCTTGAGTACCCTCCCCCTCAATTCACCTTCGGGTATATACAGTGCCCCTTTGTAATACAATGCCCCATTTCTTTCCTCAAAACCTCCGGGGCTCTCGCCCTCCCCCCTGAGACCTCTGAGCTTATCCTGGGCATATTCATCATTTTCCGTTTCCTCTACCAGTTCTCGTTGCCCCACCAGCGCCGCCCCACACACCCAGCGTTCCTCAGGGATGACATGTCTCTCTTCGATTGCCCCCTCCCCCTCCAAATACTCTGGTTTGCGTGAGAGAGCGTCCGCCCTGACGTTCTCTGGGCCTGGCACATAACAAATTTCAAAATGGAATTTGGAGAATTCCTGTGCCCATCTCACTTGTCGTTGGTTGAGCACTCGAGCCGTTCTCCAATACTCTAAATTCTTGTGGTCGGTGCACACTTGCACCTTGTGTTGTGCCCCAATTAATAAATGTCTCCACCTCCGGAACGCTTCGTGAATGGCGAGTAGTTCCCTGTCATACACCGTGTAGTTCCTCTCGGATTTATTCAGCTTCCGCGAGAAGAAGGCACACGGTCTCCACTCCGACGTACTCCTCCCCGGTTGAAGAAGCACCGCCCCTACCGCCCGGTCGGACGCATCGGTTTCCACTCTCATTGGTTTTCGTAAATCCACATGCAGAAGTTGTTCTTCCGAGGCGAAAGCCCTTTTCAGTTCTTCAAATGCTCGCTCCGCCTCCGCCGTCCAAACAAATTTCTTCTTGCTGCTGAGGCAGTCGGTGATGGGCGCCGTCAAGTGGGCAAAGTTCTTGATGAACTTCCGATAGAAGTTCCCAAACCCCAGGAATCTTTGCACATCCTTCTTGGTCTTCGGTGTCTTCCATTCCAGTACCGCTTGGACCTTGCCTGGATCCATTGCCAATCCCTTGTCTGACAAGCGGTACCCCAGGAATTCCACCTCCTTGGTATGAAACTGACACTTCTCCAGTTTCACCCACAGCTGGTTGGCTTGCAGCCTGCCCAACACTTCTCGAACGTCCCTCACATGCTGCTCCTCATCCTCCGAATATACCAACACGTCGTCTAAAAAGGCCACACAATTCTTGTAGAGCAAAGGTCCCAGGACGTGGTTCATAAAGGCTTGAAAGCACGCCGAGCCTGCTTGTAGACCGAAGGGCATCACGAGGTATTCAAAGGCTCCCAAAGGGGTGAACATGGTGGTCTTCCATTCATCCCCCTTCCTTATGTGTATCAGGTTGTACGCCCCCCGCAGGTCCAGTTTTGTAAAAATCTTTCCCTTCCTCACCCTGGTCAAAATGTCATCAATTCGGGGCATAGGGAAAGCCAGGGGTTCCGACACTGCATTCAGGGCCCTAAAGTCCACTACAAGCCTCGGCTTATCTGTGTTTTTTTTGTCCACAAAAAACACTGGGCTGCCCCCCACCGCTCGGGACTCTCTGATGAAACCTCGTTTCAGGTTTTTGTCAATGAACTCCCTCAACTCCTGCATCTCCCTGTCTGACATGGCGTACAGCTTGCCCACTGGGAGTTGGGCCCCAGGGAGTAGATTGATTTGACAGTCAAAGGGTCTGTGCGGCGGCAGTTTGTCTGCTTCCCTTTCGCTGAATACGTTGCTCAGATCTGCGTATTGCGGGGGCACCTTCCCTTTATCCGTTACTTCCATCCCGGCTAGGGTGACTCTGGCTCCTCCCGGAACCTTCCCCTCTTTGCAGTGTTCTAGGCAATGCGCTGACCCAAAGGAGACCACCCTCTGATGCCAGCCCACTAGCGGATCGTGTAGCGCCAGCCAGCTCATCCCCAAAATGATGGGAGCTCCTCCCAAGGTGGCCACGTTAAACGCTATCCGTTCGGTGTGCCTTGCCACCCTCATTATCATCGGGACAGTCTGTTGGCTAACTTCTCCTCCCAACAGCTCTCTGCCGTCAATCGTGGTCACCTGCAAGGGATTACTTAAAGGGATGGTCTGTATCTGGTGCTCAGCTGCAAACTCCTTACTCATGAAATTACAGGAGCTGCCTGAATCCAAAAGCGCCTTGATCTTTAGTGGGTGTCCGTTTGGCAGCTCTAATAACCCCTCTATCACTAAAGCAGGTCTTGGAGGTTCCGGCGTGGGCACTTTCACTGCTCTTTGGCCTGGCTGCTGTGCCCCAACGGTGGCAGCCAGGCGTTGGCTTTTACTTGCTCCTTGCCTTCCTCCTCTTTTTCCCCAACAGCTCCTGCCATCCCTTGCTATTCCTTTCTTTGTGGGCAGACTCTGGCAAAGTGCCCTGGCTGTTGGCAGAGATAACATTTCTTGGCGCTCTTTCCCTCCTTCTTCCGCCCTTCACTGGGATTTGAAACTGCGCGCGCCCGCGCTGTTCCAACTTCCATCGGCTCTGCCGGCGGGAAAGGTGGCTCTGGAATGTCTGGAATGCGGAACTCCCTCCAACGTTCCCCTTTCCCTTCCCGCTTTTCCAAAGCCCTCGCCTCCTGGCGCGCTCCTATGGACAGCGCGGATTTGGTCAGCTGGTCCATAGACTCCGCCCTGGGCCCCCGGGAAAGTTCATCTTTCACGGCCGAAGAAAGCCCCTCTTCGAAAAGCATCTGGATGGGTTCCGCCGATAGATCCCACCCCAATTTATGGATCAGCATGGTAAACTCAGTCCAGTACTCACGGACAGATCGGCTCCCCTGTTTGCAAGCCATTAACTGCCTTCGCACCACTCCCTGCTCAATGTCGCTGGAAAACATCAGGTCCATGGCACGAAAAAACTTCCTCGTGTCCTTTAGGATCTCATTATTCACTGCCATCAGGGGTCTAACCCAGTCCTTCGCTCCCGATTCGAGATGGCCAATCACAAAAGCCACTCGCGATTCCTCGTCGGGGAAGTCATCAAACTGCAGGTTGAGAGCATATTGCATCTCTGTTCTAAAGGCATGATAGTTCCTGGGATCCCCCCCAAACTTCTGCACCAATCCTGGCACCTTTCTGGCGAGCGGGGTGGTTTTTTCCTTTCCCTTTTCTGCATCCTGAGCCCTCCTCTCCTCGAGCCTCGCCGTTTGCAGCGCAAGCTGGATCTCCAACGCCCTGTACCTTTCTTCCAGGCTTGGACCCCCTCCAGCTGCTCCTGCTCCTCCGGTTCCGGCTGGGTCGCTCATGATGCCTCTCCCTGCACAAGCTGGCTTTCGAAGACTTTCTGATTGCTGTGATGGGATGATGAGCTGCTTGTGCGTAAAATGCAAGTCCCTCAGAGTTTGATCAGGTTTTCAAACCTCTGCCTGTGACGGAGCCCCTCCGGCATGGCTGCGTCAGTCGCTAGCAGAATCCGAAAGTGGTTGCTTTCGGAATCGTTTCCAACATAAAAGCTCCTTAACGGAAACACGTCTTCTGGACTCTCGGCGTGACAGTTTCCGGCGAGGAGTGGGTGTCCCTATAGGAGGTCCTGAGACCTCCCCACTGTTTTCGCTGGAAGCGTCTCTGAGCCATCCCTCCGACTCACTTTCCCTTGGAGTTCCTCCTCTCCCCCTACTGGTTCCCTCTTCAGCTGCTATGTCTCTCTCAACCTCAGTGAGCCTTTGCACCTCCTGTCCTTCCGATGGCAGTTCCCTGACAAATACCAATGCATGCAAGTCAGATTACAAGCAAACAAAGGCCCCAGCTAAAGTCACATTTACATCATACATTTAAAGCGCATGGCTTGCCCCAAAGAATCCTGGGAACAGTAGTTTTCTAAAGGTGCTGGGAATGGTCATTCTGTGAGGGGTAAACTACAGTTTCCAGGATTCTTTGGGGGAAGCCATGGATGTATGGTGTGGGTGTGACCTCAATTTCCTGCTGGACTAAAGAGAAGCACTACAGCTCTGTACAGCATGAATATGTTTTTAGCTCGCTCCAGTGTACAACTGATAGCTAACAGCAACCACAGCCTTAATTAGCTCTTTTCTAATTCAAGTGTAGACTTCATGGGTGCCTAAATCGGGTGGGGAGAGAATCTGCAAACAGTAGAGACGTCCTACACTTGCACAAAAACAAAGGTGGCCTCTCCATCTGCTTCAGTTAAAATTTATGCATCTATGAGTCTCTCATGACCCGGAAGTGTCTCCGGACAGCGCTGGCCCCTGGCCTCTTAAGTGAGATGGGCGCACAACCCCAGAGTCTGTCAAGACTGGCCCGTACGGGCAGGGGTTCCTTTACCTTTACCTTAGCTTTGGGTGCATGAGAGAGAAGAGTACTATGATGACGGAGCCTCCTCTTCCTCCTCAGTTTCCTAGAGATGCCAAGTGAAACAAATCTGGGGACGTTGTCCCTACACCCCAAGATGCCTCGATGCATGAGACCTAGGTCTCCCTAGGTCTTTCTAGCCAGTGGTTTCTTGAGGTCCCATGGTGGGTCATATCTGCGGAGTTAGCTATTGTGTCCCAACAGCTTTAGTACCAAAGTACAGTGGTACCTCGGGTTAAGTACTTAATTCGTTCCGGAGGTCTGTTCTTAACCTGAAACTGTTCTTAACCTGAAGCACCACTTTAGCTAATGGGATCTCCTGCTGCCACTGCACCGCCGGAGCCTGATTTCTGTTCTTATCCTGAAGCAAAGTTCTTAACCTGAAGCACTATTTCTGGGTTAGCGGAGTGTGTAACCTGAAGCGTATGTAACCTGAAGCGTATGTAACCCGAGGTACCACTGTACCCACTTCCTCAGAATATTTCTACCCCATCTTCCACCTGCCCAATTCTCCTCCCCACCAGGTAAAACAAAGGGAGATTGGATCATCATCATTGAAATGACCACCGGGAAGAAGGGGTGACCATAGAGAGGCACAGCCAGTTACTTCCCTATAACTATTAATTCAAGGTGAAGAGGAATCCCTCCCTTTGTCTTCAAGCAACCACAGACAACATGTGATTGGGGCCACAGGAATCAGCCCTCCCCCCCACTAAAACCAACCATCCATTGGTTCCTGGTGGAGCAAAGCAATGAAAACAGACCTTTGCATCCATCTTCCTTCCCAGTCCAATCTTTTGTGGATTTTTAAAACGAATCATACTCTCCCATGATGTGACAAAAATAACTTAAGTTTGCCTTACCCAGGGAGATACGTTTTGCAAGTTAAGTATCCAAAATCTTTCCCATCACACTCTTCTACACCTTCATGTCGGTAGCCGTCTCCACAATAAGCATGGCGACATTCTAATAAACCCGAAATAAAAGAGAAAGGTAAATAAATACATAAATGGGGTTATTTGCAGCTGCTAGCTAGCTCCTTGCATGTCAGAGGACAGCGTGAACTTTCTTCCACATCACCCATTAACTCCAAGATTAATCAGTTTGCTTGCCTGTGTATGTTTACAAAACTATCTGTTGAAAAGTAAAATACCAGCTCTTTCCCACTTAATGAAAGTAGCTTTTCTTGAGTGTTTTGCTGATTTTTTATCCAGATCACATGTGGAAACAGTGAAGTATATGAATTAGGCTTTCCATTTATCTGAGAATCCTTGTGTATATATGAATTAGGCTTTCCATTTATCTGAGAATCCTTGTGTATATTAAAGCAAGAAAACGAGAATTGGTAACATCAAACGTACTTATACAATCATCAGTCACTATGTTATTGCCATCATCGCATTCTTCACCATCTTGGAGGACCCTGTCTCCACAGGTGCTGCCATCTTCCAGCGGGTAGTCCACAGGATAAAAAGGCGTGAGCTGCTGGAATAAACATGAAACAGATACTTGAGCGGAACTATAAACATCTTGGAAAAGGAGGCACCAAAGGAACATGTGATTCCTGTTCTCACTTGCTGAAGATTAGGTGTCTGCTCCTGCCACTTCAGCCAACTGCACAATCCCCTGGAAATGTTTGTGTCAGAGTCCTCACAGCTATAGTACGAATACTTCCAGAACCTCTAACAATTTACATCCAAACCAGAATGCAAACCATTTTATTTTATGGCAAGTCTTTACTCACCCTTGAGGAGTTCAGTGAATTTAGGTTGAAGGGTGTGTATTTTAAAATCCATTCCTTTTTTTTACATAGCCCATGATCATAGAATCATGGACCCTCAGGACTAGCACAGACGTAATATTGCTGATTGATTGATTAATCAATCTCTCCCTTAATTGCTTCAATCTTAAGTATGAGGTGAAGAAGCGTACTGTTCTGCAGTCTGTATCCATTAACACTGATTAAGGAGTATCATAACAGGACAATGGTTTTTGCAGTTTGTGGTACAGATAAGCATGGGATATTTATCTACACAATTCTGAAACTGAAGAGTGCAATTCCATGCGTGCTTACTCAGAAGCACACCCCACTGTGTACAAGGGGACTTTCTCCCCGGTAAGTGCATATAGGATTGCAGGTGGGCAGAGAAATCGCAGGCAGGATAGTGTGGTGGAGTGAAATGGCATATAGATTTATATGCTCTGGAGCCAAGTGAGGATTACCAGGTAAGATCCTCCCTCTATTGTGTGGGCAGGTAATCCCTCCCCCTACCTGGCCTGGTTTCCCTGGCAACGCTTCCCCCAGGTGGGATTGGACAACTCAGGGACGCGGACTTATAAAAAATATTGGGGGGGCCCGGGAAAGCTCATGAATAATAAATAAGCTCATGAATATGCAAATAAAGTGGCTCCGGCCCTAAATAGGGCAAGCCACGCCCCCCAGCCAGCCAATCGGCTGGCTGGGAGGTGTGGCCAGTCGGGATTCCCCTGTTCTCGCGGGGGCCAGGAGGAAGGAAATTCCCCCCGGCAGTGCCTTGGCAGTGGCGGTGGTGCTGCGAAGCAGCGAGGCAGGAGCCCCCGCCCCCGGGGATTCCCTAATCTCGCGGGGGACGGCCGGGGCTCTCCGACTAGGGCGCGCGGCTGGCTGGCTGGCTGGCGAGGGAGCAGGTGGGGAGGAGGCGGGGGACGGCGGCGGCGCTCTGCTGGAAGGGCGCCCGAGATTATTGGGGGGGGCTGAGCCCCCCCCAAATTTTTTTGAGGGGGCTCGAGCCCCCTCAGGCCCCATGGAGTCGGCGCCTATGCAACTCACTGAGGTAGGCGGGGACCTCCAGGTATCCCACCTGAGGGAAGGCAAAGCCTATGCTGATGGGGCCACTCCAGATCCAGGGCTGCACGCGTCCACGCAAAGGGCGCCCCCCGTTTTAAGCGGGGAGCGGTCATTATGCCTACAGAGGTGCCCTCTGCTCTGCTGGAGGAACTCTCTGCCCATGCTAACTCCCTCCAGCCAATAGATCTGGGGATTAGGATCGCCCTGCAAACTGCCCTTTCACATTATACAGATATACATGTATAGCAGATTCTTCAAGTGTCCCTATTTTCCAGGGACAGTCCTGAATTTACAGAAGCTGTCCAAGTTTCTGATTTGATCCCAGAATGCCCCACTTTCCCTTAGGATGTCCTTATTTTCACTGGAGAAACGTTGGAGGGTGTAGAGTTATCCAACCCCTGAGCCGTCTGAAGGCAATCCTGCATAGGGAAGATTTTTTTAAAAATTGTTTAATGTTTTATTATGTTTTTATATATGTTGGAAGCTGCCCAGAGCAGCTGGGGCAACCCAGTAAGATGTGTGAGGTAAAAATAGTAAAATGATCATTATGGAATGTGACGTCCCTATTTTCATCGGAGAAATGTTGGGGAGGGGGTTTGGTATGGACCACTTGTTTTGTTTATGCCTGCCATATTCTGTTCAGTGATATTTGCTTTTTCTGATATATATTCGGGACGGGGGACGGGGGACAATTGAGAGTTCATCTGCTGCAGAAATTCACTTCACCCAATAAATATTTTAAACATAAATTTTTTTAGTTTCAATGGAATGAAATGCTTACAAAACTTGAACTATTTATTTATCATTTATTTACCTACCTACCTGAATCGGAAGCCATCCAAAAGCATCTTTGAAATACAAAGATCTCTGATCTCTACGAAATGCTAGGGCGTTTTCTGTGTTTAACCTGTCCAGTTCTTCCTGATTATTCACTACAAAAATCTGGAAAAGAGAAATAAAAAGTAGGAGTCGGAGAAGACACAAGGCTGCCGCAACACCTACTGTAGGAGAGAATACTAAGTGGCGATGGAAATTTAGAGACCAGTTCCAAATCTGAAGGGTTTGCATTATCTGAAACCTTCCCCGTTGACCTCAAAAACCCACTTGTAATTAAGCGGAATGTACTGTTTGCTCTAATCAAGGGACCAGGAACCCGATACTATGAACACACTCCACTAATAATGAAAACCAGGGGTGAGGAATGAATTGTCCTCCACATGTCACTGAACTCCAACTCCCATCAGCCGCCACCAGCACAGCAATAATGTTAGGGATGATGGAAGCTTTGCCTGACAAAATTTTGAGGGTGGCAGATTTCCTAGGCCTAGCCTAATACGTAACCAGTGTTGCTATCTGCCCATCCTCATGCAAGCGAAAATAGAGACTATTTTCTGTAAGTAGAATAGTCTTCGAGGAAAAAGAATGAGGGAGAGATGTGCTCCATGTCTAGAAGGTGAGAGAAAACAACCTCCAAAGTTTGAGACAAACGAAGAGGTAACTTAAGCAATTAATTGTTTTAAATTGTTTAACTCCAGAATTGACAGGGGGAGGAGGTAGTTATCTTTGCATCATAGTCACATCACAGGCACCATTCCACAGTTGCCCGTAAGTTAAGGAACATGGGATCTGCCCCATACCAAATCAGACCATTGATCCATCTAGCTCTGTATTGTCTGCACTGACAAACCCACAGCAGCCCAGATCAAATTGACCAAAGCGGCTACTTCATGCCAGCGGTCTGGATCCGTTAACACAGTATGCCCATATCAACTCCTAACAACCTCACTTACTGCAGGAACCTTTGAATAAGGTTGTCCAAACAGTGGCTCGTCATAGGGTGGGATATTCCCATTTTGCGGAGCGTTGCAGAGACATTTTCCTGGAGGTCCAGGAAGTCCTCTCTCTCCTTTTGTCCCCATTGTTAGTTGCCCTAGAAAACATCAGATTTGACACGCAAGGTAGTTGCTGAAATAGATAAAGACATACTGAAAAGGGAAAATCGAGTCCCTGCCTGCGAGCTAAGCATCTCATATTGAAAAGCTGTCTTTGACACCTGTAAGCTTCTTTGGGGGCTTGTACAATCACTTGTCAAATATTATTGGCCTTCCAACTTTGGGGGTGGTTGTATATTGTTTGCCATCATTGTTTGATTTCCATGGGTTATTAAATTGGTCTTTAACTTGGGATGTTTCCAGATGGATGTTTATTGTGGATTCTGTGCTCTTCATGCATGCAAGTTGAGTCATTGGCATTTAAATGCCAACCCATTAAACCCCCTCCACATTAACTTCAGACTGATCCTTCTGCCCTTTCCAGGGGAAATCCAATAAGTAACGCACACACACTCAAACCCTTTAGCAATGACCCATTTGCAAATTAAAGCCCCATCTGGAAGCACCGTTATCATTGCCTTTTAACAAAAGACCAGGCTATGTGAGTGAGTGAATAACTATTTTGGATCTCAGCAGAAGACTTGCAGAGGAACTATTATTTATGCTCAAGATGGTATTTGGGGCAGTTCAACATGATCCCACTTTCAATACTATTTGTATCTGCAAAAGTTTCAGGGTGGGCACACTGCTTCATTTCCAAGTTCTGTTCCATACCTTACTGCTGAAATCCTCAAACTTTTCAAACCACAAAAGTTCCAGTTTATTTTTTGTCCCACTTTAATTGTTCTGTAATGCACCTCTCCAGGTGGTAATAACATGGAAACAATCTGGAAGCATCGCAGAGCAACTAATGAAGTTGAAGTGTATGTAGATGGCCCAGTTTAAATCCACCTCTTATTCACTATTATTGAATCAATGGCATGTCCATTCCCACCAGCACATCAAAGGCAACAACTGGGACACCATCTTTCTGTTTTTTTCTTGTGAGAGGATGGCAGCCATTTTGGGCACCGAGGTCTCACGTGATTTCGCACCACAATATACCCATTTTGGAGCATCATGAGAGATCACAGTGCTCAAAATGGCCACTGTCCTCTCATGAGAAAAAATGGGATGTCTCTTTTTTTCAGGACACTGGTGGGGTATGGATTGCTGCAAAATACACCCACAAAACACCACCAGTCAGGGGTGCAAACTTGAATAAAGTATTGGAGGGGCGGAATGGGTAAGCCTCATCCTGCATGGTACACACACCCCCTTTGAATGACAATGCCCATCAACTGGGGGGGCCAGCCACCTCAAATATTTTATTGTGGGGGTGAAGGGACCTCGGCCCCTAGGAGTTGGCTCATATGACACCAGTCTAGAAGGGCCCTTATTTCAGGGTGCAAGGGGTAGTTGAGAGCAAAAGAAGTCCAACCCCACACTAAAACCTTATCTTAAAAATGTGTGATTCCCCCCTCAGCTAGTGGTTCGGCAGAAACCTCGTGAACGCCTGTCTCTTTTCTGTGAGGCAACTCAATATGATTAAATTGAAGGGGGAAAGGGAACGAGCGGCCATTTTGAAAGGTCTGCCTTACCTGTTGCCAAAGGGCCTGGTGGACCAGGCTGACCAGGGGGGCCCGGTCTTCCAGGTGGGCCTGAGGCACCAGGAGGTCCTATGTCTCCCCTTTGTCCCTAGTATATAAAAGAAAGGACTGTTTCTTTATAACATTCCCTAATAAGCTAATGTACTCTGCTATAGCGCAAATCCTATGGCTTCATGGGTCGAAATAGCGTGCGCTTCAACTACACAGAAAAGATCGAAATGCCAAAATTGCAAATTAAATCTGCAGGACCTTATACATATTATGGCAAATCCATGCATTTCCCCAACAAAAATATATATAATATTATATAAAATATTACTGAACAATCCCATAAATTTCCCAGTTCTGCACATTTCAGAATGACTTATTACAGTGGAACCTCGGTTTTCGAACGTAATCCATTCCAGAAGACAGTTCGACTTCCGAATTGTTCGAAAACCGAAAACTCAATACAGAAGCCTCAATACAATAGGGAAACTCAAAACAAAAGTTGTGTGGCATGTTCAGCTTCCGAAAATCATTCAAAAACCGGAGCAGTTACATCTGGGTTTTCAGCGTTCGAAAGCCAAAACATTCAATTACGAATGTGTTTGACAGCTGAGGTTCCACTGTGCTAGGACTACACCAAATTTTCAGAGAGAAAAATTGTGAGGAAATTTCTTCAAGAGTAGGGATGGGCAAATCTATCAATATTGGTCCCCCCCCCCCCCGTTTCTCGCTTTTTCAACCTTAAGTTCAATTCTCCACAATATACATATTCGCCCCCCTCATAAAATTCATCAGCATTTTACTGTGAATTTCTGTAGACCAAAAAATGTTGTTTATGATCATCATCACCACCGCCACAGTGTGGCACTTGTAAGGTTGAAACCGGCAGAGTTGCACAGGCCAGCCTTGGCGTAACTGTAACTGAATGACTGGAGCCTGAGAAGACTCCTCATGAACCTGAAGGAGTCAAATGAGCTAAGCAAGATGGATCTCAGAATGGAAGAGGAAGTAACACCTTCTTAATTTAGCTGCCACTGCAGGCATTTTATATGGGGTTGTCAGCTGGCTCTGGAGAAAGGAAATGACTGAGTAGGTGAAAAGTGGCCCCTCTTATTACAAACAGCTATGTACACACGGCACTCGGTTTTTCAAAACAACATTTGGACTTTAGGAAATTCTAGGCCTGTAACAGAATCAACGGGAACCAATCGGCAAGCATATTTGTATTCAGCTACACCCTTAAGAAAAGCACATGTAATATTTTCTAGTTATTGCCATGTTGGGCCTGGTTTCTCTTGCTGAAAGCGTACGCAAAGGTTTTTGTGCTAGCAGACATCAAAGAAAGTGATCGCCTCACAAACAATTATGTTTTCTAGAAGACATCCACACTTGTAAGAACATCAGACCAGATGCCTACAGGACTTCTGCTTCTCCATCAATAAAAGTTTTCAAGCAAAATATACTGCTTTATTTATTTTGTAGCTCTTACCAAGAGACTCTTTCTATACTGAATAACTTTATATAGAGTGAACTTGGGTATGCTATTAGTATGCGGGGCCACCACAAAGTAGGCAGTTGTTTTGATACTTTTGGGGGACTCTCTAGGTATGCAGAAATATGTTTGTAAATTTAAGCATCTCTCCATGTGTACTGTGTATTAAGGGGAGCAGAGTAGGCATGGTAGGGGAATTTGACTGTTTCCTGAGGGAAATTTCTCTTCTGAAGCTAGAATTTGCTGAAGCGGGAGTGTCATCATTCTTCAAAAGGTCAAAATTATGAAAGCAGAAAACATTGCCTTTTGGGGAGAAAAAACTCAGAGAACCCCATAATATATTTTATTCAGTAACATCTCCACTGCTTTTTTTAATTCCTTTCCAAAGCAAATGGACATTAAGGAGTGGTTCAAACAAGCATTTCCCCCTTTCCCAGCAATCTCCAGACTAACCACTACATAGAGAAAAATATTGTGTGAACCAGGACTACATAGATATAGTCACTGCTCCTTGAATTAATGGTGGTAAAACCAAGTTAGAGCTATTACATTTTCCCTTCTAGATGCATTATTTCTGACTGCAGATCATTTTACATTCTACAATTTCTTGAAGCAACAGTGCTGTACTGTACCAAGAGATTAATGCGATATTCTAGGGTATAGAGATGTGCTAGATCCTTGACCTGACATGATTCCACCTTTAAGCATCGCTGCTTTTCACTCATTAAATATCATGTTTTGTCATCTGCCATATTTCTGGATGAAGCAGTCTTTATCTGTTCTGAACTGACTTATATTCTCTATTTCCTCCTTTCTCGGTGATATTATGCCCTATTATGAATCATAATCAGATATCCTTTGTTCCTTTGCATGGCATTTAATACAAGTGACAATAAATCTGGCCTGCTTTTTTTAAATAGGATGTTCAGAAGATCCAACTATAACTATAATTCATCCAAAAACATAGATAGGCAAATCTGTCAATTTTGGTTTCTCCCATTGTCTCATTTTTATTTTATTTTTATATATTTTTTATTAAATATTCTGTTCTACAATTTAAAATGCTTATTTTACATCTTTAAGATATCAGTAACTTCCCTTCTTCTCTTCTCATGGTTCATTTTACATTAAATAAATCCCTGCATATTTTACAAAAGCTATTCCATTCAGTATTCCATTACTGCATCCATCAAAGCTTATTTACACTGTTGAATTTACCTTAATGCTGCCAGTGCCATTGTTTCATTTTTACACTCTCAAGTTCAGTTTCCTCATCTGCATGTGATCTTAAAAAAAAAAGTCTAAAGAATTAACCAGCATTTTAGTGCTGATTTCCCCTAATATATTTTTTTTCTGTGTAATGTTGCCTAATATCCTCATTTTTGCAAACCAATTTTCCCAGGCATAATGCATTTTTGTATGCTATTTCCACTAACATACACATATTATATGCACGCTTAGCTGTAGAATATGCATTTTCGTATCCATCGCTCAGCTAGAGCACTCTATTGCAAAATGTGAAGATTTTTTGAGAGATGACTGCGTTGAAGTTTGAGTACTGTTTCAGAAAGTGTGAATTAGACAATATTCATCTTTACATGCCAAATGAACCAAATTCATCCCTCATCCCTTGCTGAGACACAATCCACAGACAAAATATTTTCGGAAACAGGTTAAATCAAATACAGTACAGGATTCCTACTTGTTTCCCTCTTTTCCCTGGTCTTCCAGTTGGGCCTCTGTGTCCGGATGAACCAGATTCCCCCTTTGGGCCCATTTCTCCCTTAACGGGGATGGAAAGGACAAAGAGAAGAGCTTTAGCACAAATATATTGACTTGGTTATTATTTACAGCCCAGCCCTGGGCAGCTTCCCACCCGCCTGAGAAGGAAGAGCTTTGAAGGGGTGGACCAGGCAGCTGACAGCTTGCCGGATCTGTCCCTTCAAACATAAAAATGGATCCAGTCAGCTTTCTGTCTTTCAAATCCACACCTCCTCAGGGAGCCCAGATGGAATTCAGCAAAGGGCTGAATCTGTCCCTAAGACATAGTTTTCCCCACACTTATTCACAGATCCAGGCAGCATAAACCTCATGCAGAATACATTTCACTTAGGAGTCTTAACAGTGCAATGTGTATATTTTGAGGTGTAAGTTCCTCTGAGTGAAACGGGGCTTATCCCCTCATAAGTGTGCACAGAAAGTTAAGTTCTACTGAACACAGTGGGAGTTACTTCTGAGTAAATCTATGAAGGATTGCACTTTTTAAAGGCTTCCCAAATATTAATGCCAACATAAGCCAAGCAGGTGGACAGCCTGAGAATTTCTTGCTTCCTGTAGACGTACCTTCTGCCCCAGCATTCCAGGAAAACCTATGTGTCCCTGCAAGAAAAATGTTGAGAAAGACACAAGTTAAATTGTTTTCTAATGTTTGAGTTTTGTATAAAAACGATAAGAAAGAATGCGAGTCACTGATTCAGTTTGATGATGATGATGGTTGCAATTAGAAAATAAAATAAAAATAAATCACCAGGAAAACTATTACTTATGTGTTGCGGTTTGTTTTTTTACCTTGCCCTTCCTTGCATAGAAGCCCAAGATGGATGCATACAATAAGCAAAAGATACAAACCATTTAAAACAAATGTATAAAGTACTATCAGTAAAACAATGTATTATTTTATAATGAGGTGTAGTGATTACCCTGTTAAAATGTGGGGTTTGGGGGGGGAAGTGTTATTGGGTTGTTGTTTTTTATTTTGATAATATATTTGTGGTTTTATATTTTTGATTTTGTTCTGTGAACCGCCCTGAGACCTCCGAATATAAGGCGGTATATAAATTCAATTAAATAATAATAAAGAGTTGGACTAGGTAGGACCTGGGAGATCAGGGTTCGAATCACCACTTGGCCATGGAGCTCCCATTGGGCCAGTCACAATCCCTAAACCAGCCTACCACACAGGATAAAATGGGGAGGAAGAGAAACATCTCGAGCTTCTCAGAGGAAAAGTACGGTATAAATGCAAGTAGTAAATCAGTACGTAAATAAATACAGCAAATGAATATTTTTTTAAAAAAAATGATAAGACATTTGGAAAATACGAGTTCATAGACCATTGCAGATATTTCTGACCAATTCTGACTTCACAGATAAGGGCTATAGTTCACTGGACCTTCAACCAAATAGATTTGTGTTATTGTCTTAGCAATGAGCATAGCTGATTGCGTACGGAAGTTAAACGAAGTCTGCATCTATAATATCCATCCTCATACAACTACGCTATGAATGCAACCACAAATCAAGCTACGTTCAACACGAATTAGGCGCTCTATTAAGGTAATTTTACCTTGTCTCCTTTGCTACCTTTGTCGCCCTTCTCTCCGGGAGTTCCCTGTGGAAAACCATACAGGAGATAATAGCTATAGAACACGGCGTTTCAAAAACCGATGTTTTCTTTCAGCACTGAATGTAGAATTAAACACAGAAGCCCATCAAAATGAAGTTGTTCAGTATACAGAACACTTGCTAGATTCTTGGTTCCCCCACAATTACCATCCTCAGTACATTCCAGGCGATGTAATGAACACAACGACTTTCAAGTTAAATGTCATTTACTGATCTTCAGCTAGTGGGCCGTCACCTGAATTAAGCCAGTCTCTGAGCTAATGTAGATTGTACCAACATTGAGCATGGGTACCCTTTGTTTGCTTTAAAACCCTTTTCAGACATTAATGTGCGGACAAATGACACACGCAGGCAGGGACAGCAAGCGCAGCAGGTACTAACCCCCAACCTGTGCTTTGACCCACTCCTCCCCCCAGCCCTCCCTATGCAGCATTCCTGATTACAGAGAGCTGGCTGTGTGTCAAAACTTGAACATGTACAAATTACAGGTATTTTCAGAAATGGAAATGTAGGTTGTGGGGGAGGCAGAGCCTTACGTCACATCCGCCTACGCCTTTTCTATGCATTAACAAATGAAATGAACTAAAGGGGACGAGAGGACAGGACAAAGAGAGAGAGCGGGAGGGGGGAGAACTGAGAGGAAAATAGAAGAAAGCAATGTACTGTATTCCCAGCACTTTGCCTGCTGGCGTGTGCATGATTGTCCAGATGATTCCTGGCCAAATATGTAAACTTTCTCTTTTGCTGCTAAGCCTATCAGTGGCTATTAATCTGTGGCTGTATGAGAACATATAACCCATTTCTTGATACTATTCCTAATGGGTGGGGAATGCACATCATAAAGTGGCCTTAATTGGTTCTTCCAAACGGGAGCTCACCCCGTCGCGGGGATTCGAACCGTCAACTTTCTGATTGGCAAGTCCTAGGCTCTGTGGTTTAACCCACAGCGCCACCCGCGTCCCTTGATCCTGTTATTACTAACATACCAAAGCATCACATTTTGGGGGGCCTGAGGAACATAGGTCGCAATGCTTTTCAGGAATTAACTAAGAGTTCTTTGCATGACGAACCTTTTCTCCTCTGCTTCCAGGGTAACCCTAGAAGAAGATAAAAGGGCAGGTATTTACATGCTTGCTATTGATTACATCATAGTAACATATGGACTTTAAAATCAGGCTGGAAAAGCAATCCGTAATAAGTTGCAGCAACATTTTCCTTTGCAGCCGTTGGAAGAAAATCACAAATATGAGCATTTAAGCCTCAGCCTGGAGGCAGACATGAGAAACAAATAAATCTGGTACAGAAAAGCATGCTAGCCTTGTTAGAAATTGCTTTGGAAATTAAAACAGCAGCAGAAAGCCATTATAATTCTCAGTATAATAATATAATTGAAAGCAGTCTCTGTGGTAAAATGCCTTAAGCCATATTCTTCAGCTGTTTCCTCTTATCTAGCAAAGGCAAGTCTCTCTCTCTGGTGTTTACTTTGACTGTACTTCAGCTTAGACCCAACTCTTTTGTAGCAACTCCCATGGACATTTAAGATTTTTAAAAAGCTGCAATTGCGTAATGTAAATACCTAGGCCACTTAGTGGTTTTTAATGATTAAGTGGTATACCATTTGTCAAGCAATTAAATAAATAAATCAACATTAAAGAGATATAGCCTCAATATGTATCTGTTTTGGATACAAATGATGCTTAAACAAAGGTTCTTTTCTCTTTTTAAATCGCCTTTGGCTATAGACAGTACTCTAGTTTTGCCCCTTTGTAATCAATTCATCTTCTGCTAAACATGAAGTTGCTAATGTCTTATGCCTATGCACTTTTAGTATGATAATATAGAGGGATTCCATGGTCCTGCACCCACCGCAAGACATCCAATGCACAGGAAAATAATCCAAGTTGTGTTGCACAAGCACAATTCACAATTTGGCACGGCGCCTATAAATTAATGTGGGATGTTTTGCAGGATTGTGCTTTGTGGCCATGCCCCAGATGACTAGTACTCCATCAGCACAGCCCATCTATCAAAACAAGAAGATAAAGCAATCTCCTTTAGCAAATATTCCAGCTGCTTCGGAACCACTAACCATTTTTAAATGTCAAATGTTGTTTTGAAAACCCAAAACAAAAACCAGCACCCAAAACATAAAAGTTGGGTGCAGCAGAAAGGGGAGTCCACTCATCCTATTCTTGGACCATCTAATACGTGAGGGTGGCAGGAGGAACATGGGGGGGGGGGAAATTATAACTGTCTGGATTTGGATACAGGTAGGTAGCCGTGTTGGTCTGCTGTAGTCAAAACAAAGTAAAAAAATTCCTTCCAGTAGCACCTTAGAGACCAACTAAATTTGTTATTGGTATGAGCTTTAGTGTGCAGGCACACTTCTTCAGATACTTCTGATACCTGCTGTGGTGATCACACAGGGTCCCCGGACGTTTCACCATCTATTGATCCCTGTGCCACCACTTTATTTCTCGCTGCTACCACCCAGGCCCTACCTGGTAAAATACTGAGTCCAGACAGGGTTAAGTTGGAACATAAACTTCTGTTTATTTATTGCAGTTTAACAAGCGTGTGGTTTCATAAACGCTATCTGTCAAATAAATCATGGGGTGCCTATCCAGACCTATAATTTCCACTACCTGCTCTCACTCTCTAAACCACCTCTCAGATATTTACTTGTCTTCCTAGCTCCTAACTGTTCCTGACTCGGCTTATTTCGCTACACTAACTCAACCCTCCCACAGACTCTTTCCCAATTCACATCCACTCCAACCAACCAACCACCCAACTCCCCACGAACTCCCCCCTTCGCCCCTTCCAGAGCTGGTTTTATAGTCCCTCTGACTCCACCCCCCTGGGTTCTGATTGGTTAACCTGTTTAACTATTTCACCTCCAGCACTCTCATATGTTAACATCACACCTGCATGCACACGAAAGCTCATACCAATAACAAACTTAGGTGGTCTCTAAGGTGCTACTGGAAGGACTTTTTTATTTTGTTTGGATTTGGATAATGGTGCTAATACAAATATAGTGTACAACAGTGCTATTTTTCTAGAGAAAAAGGTGCTGGAACTCACCATTAACACCTCCCTTGTTCTCTTATAAATGACAATGGTGCCCACCTGAGAGGTGCTGGAACTGAGTTCCAGCTGAAATTAAAAGCCCTGGGGTCTTGAGGCCCATGTTACATGGATTTGGCTTTAAAATTACTTTCCCCCCCCCTTATATTAGATTGTAGTAAGGTATTTGATTAAGAATAAAGCAGAAAACCAGCATGCTGACAAAACCTTTTGATTTTTCATTATTGCTATGGGGAAATCCTGTCTTTTCCTATTATTCCTTCTCCCCACGAACACTGCTGCTATCTTCAAACGATATACACAAGCACTTTGTTACCAAGGAAGCAGCTGTAAGCAGCCAGATGGGGACGACATAGCAGCTGGGTGAAACAAACCTTAAAGCCCGTTGGTCCTCTTGTACCTGGCAATCCCATCAAACCCAAATCTCCCTTTTCACCCTAGAGGGGTCAATAAAAAGAAGTTATTCACTGTGGCTGAAGAAAGGTGTCAGTAACTGGAACACAGACTGTTCTGGTTTGGAATCAGAGAGAGCGGAAACAGACCACAGTCCTATGATTCATCAAGCAGCAATACAACACAAAGTTTCATACGGCTAATTCAGACTAAATTGTAAAGAAATGTGTTGTCTCTTAATATCATCTCCTGCAACAGATGGTCATTTACCAGCACTACAATAAGACCCGCAGGCAACTGCACAACACTTCTGGCTCAATCTATATTGCTACTGTAGGGGAATGTCTGCTTTGCTGCCCTTCTTAAATTATTAGTGTTATTAAACTGCAGCCCCTTTCTCCTGCTCCATAGCGAACTGAGCAATGAGAAGGAGATCCATTTAAGAAAGCAGGAGGGTGCGGGGTAGAGACTGTTGCTCACTCCCAGCCTCAGACCCTGCGGTCCCAAGGTACTTGGGGTTTTCCCAGAGCATCCCAGCACCTATTGCATTCAGGTGCCCCAGGCAGCTGCCTGTACTGCCTCTTGGATTGGGCCAACTTAGTCTCTCTGATTTACAGTATCAGCTGCTGAAGTCCACTTGGGCTGTCAGTTTTAGCTACCGGTCTACCCAGTTTCACTTGCAAAATGTGAATATATGGGGGTGGGGTGTACACCTGAAAACGTTGGCAGCATTAAGATAAATTCAGCAGTGTAAATAAGTTTTGATGGATGCAATAATAAAATACTGAATGGTTTAGTTTTTTTGTAAAATATGCATGGATTGATGGTATGCCAAATGAACCATGGAAAGAGAAGAAGGGAAGTCATTGATATTTTAAGGATGTTTAAATGAGTATTTTAAATTGTAAAACAGAAAGTTTAATAAAAATTATATATATATATATTTAAAAAACAAAATGTGGGCTGGTAGTCATTTGTGTCTGCAAACAGGTTTGCAGAAATCTCTCTAGCCACGTACGTTTTCGCTGTCCAGTGAACATCCGAAAAATGAGGAAGCAGGTGATTTGGGGGTGGGGAGCATCATCGTCATCATCATCTAATCTAGTAGGCTAAGTGTTTGTTAGGATAATATAGGAGCCAACTCCAGAGGGCTGTGGGTGCTTCTGCACCCGCAATAATATATTTGTCGGGGCCGGGCACCCACAAAGGCAATGAGAAAAGCCAGCAGGCAGCAGCAGTGCTGCATCCGAGAGAGAAACAGTTCACCTCTGCCCTCTACAGCCAGCGAGCAAGACACCCTTTTGGTGGGGGGTGGGCCTTGAATGCAGGGTGGGAAAGGGTGCCTCACTGGCTGAGGAGAGAAGGAAGAGGAGTCGTAGTTGAGAGACATCGCACGTAATATGTGCAGGCGTGTGTGTGTGATGTTTCATGTCCACGTTATGGCACTCCTGTAGCCAAGTGATGGGGAAGAGATTTATCAGGAATAAACAAAGAATATGGGAGAATTGTCATGATAAGAGAAGGCAGGGGAACTAAGAGGAGAAATGTCCATAGCAAATGATGGCTATGAGACATCATTCACACACACACACACACACACAATATTATCACCCCATGGATACCACTATGGTCCATTCTGCCATCTTCCCGTACTCTAAACTCCCACTATCATTCTGTGGTACATTTTCCTACATTTTCCTGCACATGCTCAGAAGTAAAGACGGCTTCACATTCCAGTACAGTGGTACCTCGGGTTACATACGCTTCAGGTTACATACGCTTCAGGTTACAGACTCCACTAACCCAGAAATAGTACCTCGGGTTAAGAACTTTGCTTCAGGATGAGAACAGAAATCGTGCTCCGGCGGCACAGCAGCAGCAGGAGGCCCCATTAGCTAAAGTGGTGCTTCAGGTTAAGAACAGTTTCAGGTTAAGAACGGACCTCTGGAAAGAATTAAGTACTTAACCCGAGGTACCACTGTACTGCTCAAGAAACATGTGCAGCATTCAAATCCGGATTGAGTAACCATGTACAGAGGCCTGACCTCAGGAAACCTGTGTTTCTGAGCTGGAAGTCTTCCTCTCCATTGCATTGGGGTCCGAAAGCCATATGCCTTTAGGAACCTAGGGGCGCGCAATCGTTTACAAGCTCATTCTACCGCAAGTAAGCTGCATTCGACAAGATGGATTTAACTTAATTTGCATTACAGGTTTGACCATATTAGTAAATGGTGCCTTAATCTTACCTTCGGTCCTATTGGGCCAGGCCATCCAATAGGTCCTGGAAGTCCAGGGACACCTGGGGGACCTGGTCTGCCCTTCAAAAAAAGAGGCCGGGGATGGGGGGAAGGAAGTAGAAAGAGAAAAAAATCAGATGCAATAACATCAACATTGGTAGCAGTAATGTCTGAATACCGTATTGCCCCAAATATAAGCCGCACCCGCAAATAAGCCACATCTTTAAAATTGAGGGGGGGGACAATACCTGGGCTGCTTCCTGGGGGGGAGCCGTGCCGCTTTGCTGGGTGCATAAAGGTTGCGAATATAAGGTGCACTTTAACTTTTCACAGTCAGAATTTGGAAAAAAATGTGTGGCTTATATTCGGGCCAATACGCTATAACAAAGCCTCTTCAAATGACAATAAGGCACCCAGCCACACCCTTGGAAGTTCTTCCTGACCACAGAACATTAAATGTGATAGTGTTGGGACATGATTGTTCATTTTGGGCTGTGGTCCCATTTGTTGCATGTATACCGGCCAGCATCCATCTAGCTTATGACACCGGTCAGAGTAATTAACAGAATGGGTCAGTTGCTACATGCATGCAAAGCGGGCCCAGGAACATAGCATGTGCTGCTGGCACCTGGGGTAGGTGGGCACTCCGGGGTGGTCCATGCACACAGAGGGGGAAGAGGCATGGAGGGTGAGCAGAGCCCATGCCCAGCCCCCGCCACCAACGCCCCACCTCCTGGAGCAAAACAGGGCTGTGTTGCGCCCCTGACCTGACACTCACGCTGCCCTGCCAGCCCCACTCTGCTCTGCGATGCCACAGGGCTGTGTGAGGAGGACACAACAGGCATTCGCCCTTCCTGTTCAGTGTGCATGCCTGTTGCGCCCTCCTCATGCAGCCCTGCAGCGTCGCAAAGCCACTTCAGGAGGAGATGATGTTGCGGGCTTCACGCCCTCAACACGAGCGCGGAGGCTGGCTTCCAGCCCCTGCATGATCAGGGGAATCCTCGGGCTGCATCATCCCCTGAGCCAGCCAATCAGCTGGCTTGGGGTGTGTGGCTTGCCTCATTTAAGGCAAGCGCAGCCCCGGGATCTCCCTCTTTGGTCCCGGTCAGCTGCTGAGGTTTCCCACCCACCCGCCCTTTAAGGTTCCCTTCTGACCTTGCTATGGACCTCGGTTGGTCGCCGTTGAGGGGCCTGGTAGGAATTTTTTCCACTTGGCAAATTGGCACCGGCCATTTCGTTTTTTGCCTACCTGGTAGCAAAACGTCACAACTCCTTTGGTTTTGGCGGCTAGGCATTGGTAGGGGTATTGTTAGGTGGGGGGGAGGAGCGCCATCACCTCCCCCAAATATTGAAGGGTAGTCCGGTAAAGGATTCCAGGGGGCGTGGCCTCATCCGAAGCCTATGGAGGCCAGGGCCTAAAGCGCCCCCCCCCCGAGCGGTGACCCCGGGGGAGTCCCTAGTTGATGTGCATCAGCTGGGCTCCCCCTGCTGGTGTTAACCTTCCCCGGTCTTCAAGCAATCAGGCTGAAGCCGGACAGGACCAATACCGCTCTTTACCTGTAACCAATAAAGTGGTGGCCAATTTTAGCCCATTAACCTAAAATAATGGTGTCATGTGTCTTTATTTCTACTGGTGGGAGGCGGGAACTCGCCACGCAAAGCAGGGCAGGCCTGGCAGGGCAGCGGGAGTGCACTCCAGGAACACAGCGGCACAGGGCTGACAGAGCCCAGAGGAGCAAAATGCACACACCCCGTGCACCCACGGCCACTGCCCCTCTGGTCTTCCCCAATCAACACCACTAGGTGGGCCTGGTACTGTGGTCAGCTGAGTAGCATCAGTTCCAACAGCCTGTTGCATTTCAATTCTAAAAAAATATCTTACAATGTGTGGGGATTTTTTTGCAGGCAAGTGGGATCGACTGATGAGTTATGACAGTGATTGTAAAAAATATTCTGTTTAAACAACATGAAGCAGAAGGAGCTGGGAAGCAGGACCACTCTGTGGGCAGTGCTGGGAAGCCAGTTCCATCAGGCTCCTCCTCTGCCTCAGCTCACTTGCCAGCAGCTATTCCATCAGGCTGCAGAAGAGGGAGAGAGATGTGCCACAGAGCCAGTCAACTGACTCTGCTAAGCCAAACACCTTCAGACACCTCCTTCCCTCAACTGTTACCCGGCAGCAACAATTCTATGTGACTGCAGAGGAGGAAGAGGCGGGGAACTAAGAGCTCCATTTGGCCCCTCTTCTCCCCAAACTCTTTCCATTGCAGTTGGCCTTACATGTAGAAATCTCTTTTAACATGTGAATGGGCACAATGCTGTACAAGGGTGTTATGCGATTTGTCTCATACCTTCCTTCCTGGTCTGCCAATCTCACCCTGTAAGATAAAGTAACGCATCAGTAGGAGACACAAACAACAAATATGGGAGAAGGTAGAAAACAGGTCACAAGTAGCATACGGCAATCTTTTGTGACAGGCTAAAGACAACTGGGGGGGAAGGCAAGAGAAACCACAAACAAAAAAATGTTTTTACTGCATTTCTATCACCCCTTTATGGTGGTATACATGGTTCTCCAGCCTCCTCATTTACCGTATTTTTCGCCCTATAGGGCACACTGGCTGCTTGCTGCTATCCGAATCCCGCTGCGCACCCGAGGCTTAGGGCAGCTATCTGCAAGCCTGCGGCGCCCGGCAGGAACTCCGGATAGCTGCCCTAAGCCCGGGGTGCACAGTGTCGCGCTCCCCGGACTTCGGGCTGCAAGCACCTATCCGCACCGACCCTTCTTGCTCTCCAGGCTTCAGCGAAAGCCGGCATTTGCCCTATAGGACGCACACACATTTCCCCTTCATTTTTGGAGGGGGAAAAGTGCGTTCTATAGGGCAAAAAATACGGATATCCTCACAACAGCCCTGTGAGGTAGGCTAGGCTGAGAGGCAGTGAATGGCCCACGCTCAGCCAGTGAGCTTCATGGCCAAGTGAGGATTAGAAGGCCGGTATCCCAGGGAACCCCTAACCACTACCACTCACTGCCATGGGGATAGATGTGCAGTTTTGTTTCGTGGTAAACTTTAGAGGTGGAGCACAATAGTTTCTGGCTTGTGGGGATTGCTGGCATGTACATTTATTGGCCTGTCTAAACAGGTGCATCCGGCTTTTCATAGCCTAAGCCTTCACAAAGCAAGTAACGAGACAATGAGATATTGCAAATTCCGCTTTGAAACGAGAAGCTACTAAAAACATAGCATTATTAGTCATCGTAAACTCAGACATTACAGGTCTGGAATCAGCAGGCATGGCAACATGGGGCAAATTCCAGGGTGCTCAGGTCCTAGAGGGCACACCAGGGCTGATGCCAGCATCCCTTAAGGAATTTTTAACTCCTCCCCCCCCCCGCAACTATATATAAATGCTGCTTAAAAAAGTGAATATACTCAGAGTCGAGTGTGAATTTCATGCTCTTTATTCAGCTTGTAGTAGCAATGAATAAATCTTTCCCCAAAACGTCTAGCTATATATATATTATTTACACAATGGGCCCCGCGTGATTGGCTAATTCTGGGCTGCTCCTGTAGGCCAATCAGGTTATGGATTCACTTCATCCAGGAGCCTGATTGGCTGCTCCTGCAGGCCAATCAGGTTGCTGATTCACTTCATCCAGGAGCCTGATTGGCTGCTCCTGCAGGCCAATCAGGTTGCTGACTCACTTCCACTAGGAGCTGGATTGGGTGGCTCCTGCAGACCAATCAGACTGCTGCATTCTGGATCCTATTGTTCTAGGATTCAGCTCAGTACATAACAAAAAGATTCAAGCAAAGCATCTTAATTTTCCCAGAATGCCTCTGGGAAAATGCCACTGGGGGATGCCACTAGGGGATTGCTGGGTGGGAACCTTGCCTCAAACCTGATACCAGTCCTGGTAATTAATCTAAAGGTCCGAAATGACCTTACATCTAATGCATATCACAGTTCAAAAACGAACCCTGGCACTTACTTTTTCCCCCTTTGGTCCCTTCACACCAGGAACGCCTTGCGGGCCCTAAAAATAAAAAAGAGAAGAAATGGGACGTTCAGCATTGCTGATAACACTCCTCGTTTGTTCTTCTGCTCGCCTCAGCGTCTTTCGCCTGTCAGTTGTGACAAAGTAATCAGAAGGCTTCCTACTTTTTTTTGTTGCCAAGGATCTCTACCATGTTTCAGCCTCTTCAGCCCATCTCAGATCAGGACCGAAGTTCTCACACGAAGCTCAGTTCATGAGGGTTCACATCTGTCAGTCTCTACTGTCTAGCTGGATTTAATTTTCAGCTGCACGCACTACAGTTCCATTTAGGCAGGAGATAATGAGGCGCAGCGATGGGTCAGGTGATGAGGGGTGGAAGGATATAATGGAAAAGCAATCATGGAGTTTGGAAGAAAAGTCGTTCCATATTAGGAAAGAAGGTGTGAGAGTAATCAAAAATGTGATTCCATCCATCTGACCTGATACAGTCCTAGGAATTGTAGTTTTATGCTCTAATTTTAACTCTGAAATTTCTTCTCGGTTCTCTATATTCTTTTGTCTTCTCTATATTATTGAATACTGGATGATATTTAATATCCCAATCTTGGCTTTGAATTAAATAAAGCTATTCTGTGAGCTATTCTGGAAAAAACGGTCTCCTGCGAAAAGACTGGGAGACTGAGAATTTTCTCATCGTTCTTTTACATCACACTGAAAGGATTCAAGTGGAAGCAACATAATATACCTTGCTGTTAATGAGCCTTGGTTTATTTATCATTACTAATCCAGAAGTCACTTGTAATGCATATTTAAATGAGGTACCATACTGCACAGGGGTTGAGGAATCCCAGCTGCCGTTATGTTCTAACCTGCCACAGTATTGAAGAATGAAGGCCTTCTCAACTGTATGGAAAGAGCAGAGATTGAGGAACCTGTCTAAAGAATCTGAATTGGTGTGTTCTGAAAGGAAGTACTAACCTGTGGCCCAGGAGGTCCTGGAGGGCACAGAGATTCTACACATGGAGACTGTATTATCTGAAGCTCTTGACATAGGTTTTTCAGGTTCAGAGACAACATCTAAGAAGTTTTAAAAAGGGAGAGAGATCACTAAATGCCACAGCAGAAGAGTAAACCTTTGATCAAGGACACATTTTTAAACACTCTCTTGCAAGGCTAAACTAGATTTTCTTCATCTGCACTTCTCCATCTTCCATACAGTACTGTTGCAAAAGGAGTACTAGTACTCCAGTACAGTGGTACCTCGGGTTAAATACTTAATTTGTTCCGGAGGTCCGTTCTTAACCTGAAACTGTTCTTAACTTTAGCTAATGGGGCCTCCTGCTGCCGCTGCACCGCCGGAGCACAATTTCTGTTCTCATCCTGAGGTAAAGTTCTTAACCCGAGGAACTATTTCTGGGTTAGTGGAGTCTGTAACCTGAAGCGTATGTAACCCGAGGTACCACTGTACTAGTCTTTCCAGAACTATATGGCTCATTCTCCTCAGCCCCAGTAATACACAAGGCTATTTTGTTCCTAGCTCAATTTCCAAGTAGCAGATGCTCCCAGAAATAGCTTCTCCTAATAATTCATACTGCATGAGAGTGCAACACAGACTGCATGACTGAAAGAAGCCAAATTCTGCTCCTTGGCAAAGCCAGTGGGGAAGAAGTTGTATTAGATGGTGGATAAACACAGAAACTAAATCAAATTATTCCATCTATCAAATAGCAATTATAGGACGTATAATTATATATATATATATATATATATATATATATATATAACAAGAAAGGACACAAGACCTAGATTTTATTCCCCCTCACAAGTTATTGTTTGCTGAACCGCTAGTGTTTGCTCATCGAGAAGATTGCATACAAATCCAGCTGTGCTATATAATTATTTTTTGTACTGCAGCTGAAATGTACACAGCAGAAAATCCTATGCTCCATGCCTTTAGGATTCCCTCTTGATGGCTACACAAAATTACATCCTTTACTCCACCTCTCATTTCCAACCGCAGCTTAGGACCCTCTCGAAACATGTACCGAAAGGTGGGAGAAATCCACAGTATTATCATTCTCTCAGTTGGTAACAGTTCAAATGTTTTTGGGTGGGGTAAATGGCAGAGCAGTTGGATGGAAATTCTATGGTATCCCAAGCTATGGCTGCTCACGTGGGAGACCTGCCTTTTTCTCTCCCCCCTTCCAGAGCTGGTGTAGTTTCAGGAACATCAGGGTAAAATTGGGACTTTAGGTTCTGTGGATTCAAGGCTACCCCTCTCCCCTCCATTGGTGGAACACCTATGGAGTTTTTTTGCGGGTGCACTGGAGGTCTCTGATGGCCTAAGTGCGACCCCACTTAATAATAACAATAATAATAATAATAATAATAATAATAATAATAATAATAATAATTTTACACAGAAAACTACAGGCTTTAAATCCCTCTTGCAAGTTAATGGAGATGGGTTTTTTGAATACGAGTGAAGTCATTACATCAGTGGCTGCAAAAATAGAAGAAAGGATGAAGATCAGAATTGCTGTATTTGGATTATATATGAGATTATATGCAGGATTTAGGAATAATTATCTCCGGATGATCAGAACACGGGAAGTCACTGAATTTGTTGAATTTGGAATGTATAATTAGCTGTATAAATTGTATTATGATTTGGCATGATAATAATGTGGCCCATATTGGAGTTGTTAATGAAAAATTACACACACACACACACACACACACACACATTTATTTATTTATACCACCACCCATTTGGCTAGGTTTCCTGAGCCACTCTGGGCGGCTCCCAACAGAATATTAAAAACATGATAAAACATTAACTAAACAGGGTTGCCTTCAGATGTCTTCTAAAAGTCAGATATTTGTTTATTTCCTTGACATCTGATGGGAGGGCGTTTCACAGGGCGGGCGCCACTGCCAAGAAGGCCCTCTGCTTTGTTCCCTGTAGCTTCACTTTCTGCAGTGAGGGAACCACCAGAAGGTCCTTGGAACTGGACCTCAGTGTCCGGGCAGAATGATGGGAGTGGAGACGCTCCTTCAGGTACACTGGGCTGAGGCCATTAAGGGCTTTAAAGGTCAGCGCCAACACTTTGAGTTGTGCTCAGAAATGTACTGGAAGCCAATGTAGGTCTTTCAGGACCGGTGTTAAATAGTCTCGGTGGCCAAACCCAGACTTCCACCTCCCTCTTCACTCCAGCAATGGCACGTACTCCACAGCCACATTCAACAACCCCTCGGCAGCCAGCTTTTGAGATGCATCTTAATTTGCTTTATTTCACATTATGTACCCTTGGCACAAAGTTCAATGATGCTGTCTGACTTAAAATTCTCAGCTTCTTTATACAGATTTTACGAAGAATGGCATTACTTCATTTACTGGACTTCTTCCCAATACGTATGCTCTAAATTTCGACCTAGCAGTTACAGCGAGAGTGACTGATTGAGTGAGTGGTATAAAAGGGAGAGAGAGAGATTGATTTTGTACAATTCTTTGTCATCTGCCTTCACCAGCAGTAAAATGACAAGTGACTGCCAGGAAATTACACAACAGGGTTGCGGCTCTTGAGGTATTAAAACTAATATCATATAAGGGAATGGGGAAAATTCCAATAGGTAACCGTGCAAAATATATCAGGAGCTGGACTGTCTCACAGAACATTGTGTCAAGAAACAGGGTAACCTTGGTATTCCAATAATTGGAGATCCATGTGCCAACAGAATTTGAGTCTATGTCATCCCCCCACCCCACCCCGGTATACATTAGAAGCCTAATGACCAACACAAATGCTATATTGTGTGACATGTTAGGTATGTTAGGTCAAACTTGTACTGTGTACTGAAAGTTGTTGAGGGAAGGTAGGGTTACGAGGGTAGGAAGCCTCATAAATCACAAGAAGCTTTTATAATATATGGCGGCTACATGTACACATGTATACATGACATGAAGCATATTTTTTGACCCACCTCCGACCCTCAAACCTGTACCTTCTACATTTGCGGCACAATCTTATCTATAGATGTCAAAGAGATAAATTATTCTATGACATACGAAGGCAGCCCTGTTTGGGGAAGTTTTTAATACAGTGGTACCTCGGGTTACAAACGCTTCAGGTTACATGTGCTTCAGGTTACAGACTCCGCTAACCCAGAAATATTACCTCTGGTTAAGAACTTTGCTTCAGGATGAGAACAGAAATCGTGCTCCGGTGGCGTGGCAGCAGCAGGAGGCCTCATTACCTAAAGTGGTGCTTCAGGTTAAGAATGGACCTCCAGAACAAATTAAGTACAGTGGTACCTCAGGTTAAGTACTTAATTCGTTCCGGAGGTCCGTACTTAACCTGAAACTGTTCTTAACCTGAAGCACCACTTTAGCTAATGGGGCCTCCTGCTGCTGCCACGCCGCCGGAGCACAATTTCTGTTCTCATCCTGAAGCAAAGTTCTTAACCTGAAGCACTATTTCTGGGTTAGCGGAGTCTGTAACCTGAAGTGTATGTAACCTGAGGTACCACTGTACTTAACCTGAGGTACCACTGTATTTGATGTTATGTTGTGTTCTTTTATATTATGTTGGAAGACGCCCAGAGTGGTTGGCGCAACCCAGTCAGATGGGTAGGGTACAATAAATAAATAAATTGATTGATTGATTGAGATTGATTGATTGATAATGACACTCACTGGGTGATGATAGGGCATCAGCACCAGTGGGTGTAAGTACAGCATTAGTGTGAAACAAGAAGCCTGGCTACGGGCAGAAGGATCTATCAGCTTTGGTTTTTTCCGTTCTCTCAGTTTTCCAATCTTAAAATTGGCTCTCCACATTTCTGTAGCGATTTGCGAATTTTCTTTTTGAAAATCCTCATAAACATTCATCCGTATTTTAGTTTGAATTTCTCCAATAAACACATGTCTGTATGCAGCTTTGACTAGTATACACATTTTCTTGCAAGCAAGTTATCCTCATATAATGCACTTTCATTATTTTCACTAAAATATTCATTTTTATGCATAATTTTCACTAATATATGCATTTTTGTAAACACAGCTTGCCTAGAGAACTGCATCGCCTCAAAATACCATCCAAGGTCATGTTGTTGCCTACAGATGTGTTTGGTGGGTTTTTAGTTGGTTCTGTTGTAAAAATCAACAACATTTAGGTATGTAAAAATCATTAACATCCATGAGTATCAGTGCCTTGGATCCATGTTTTTTGAGGTGCTGGCAAGCACTGGATCTATAGAGTTTGTTGTGAAATCTACATAGGTAAGCTTAAATCCCATCATATTTTTTTGAGCACCCTGTGTAAAATCATATCAGTTAAAGAGGATCCATTTTGCCCACTCCATGGAAAAGCAAAGTCTCTTTCTCTCTCTGTTTTCTGTGCACGTGTGAACACACTTTGTTTTTTTAGTTCAGGGATCAGCAAACTTTTTCAGCAGGGGGCCAATCCACTGTCCCTCAGACCTTGTGGGGGGGCCGGACTATATTTTGAAAAAAAGTAATGAAGAAATTCCTATACCCCACATATAACCCAGAGATGCATTTTAAATAAAAGCACAAATTCTACTCATGTAAAAACACCAGGCAGGCCCCACAAATAACCCAGAGGTGCATTTTACATAAAAGCACACATTCTACTCATGTGAAAACACGCTGATTCACAGACCGTCCGCAGACCGGATTTAGAAGGCGATTGGGCCAGATTCGGCCCCTGGGCCTTAGTTTGCCTACCCATGTTCTAGTTGTCTGGGGCGGGTGTGTGTGTGTGTGTGAAGGCAGTCAGTGGGAATGTTATCCATGTTTTCTCAGAATTCCAGATGTGCCCACAAGCAACCCCAGACCATTGAACAGATTGCATTTTGCACCTCTGATACATTACATCTCTGGTCACCAAGAGTTATGTCACACTTTCTGTGGCAGGGCAGTTTCTTGGAATTGCTTACAGGAAATAAAAACTTGAAGCCATACTTACAGGATTCCATCCCTGCCTGAAGTGTGGTGGAGGAAATAATGGCGGAGGTGGTGGAGGAGGAGGAGGAAGGGCAAGAAACGAGCACACTCTGTTGTTATTAACCTGCTTCTTCTGGTTCAAGCAAGGGAAGGCTGTTGGGGGAAAAAATACTTGTCTATTAATTACGGGCTAAGTATTAATTACGATTCTTTAAAGAATGAAAAAGGCGGCTCGAGCACAATAAAATTCAGCATGTTTGCACCACCGAAATGCACTCCCACCACTCAAGGTTTTGCCAACTATGGCAGCTAAGAAATCCTCCAGTGACAGTCCACAATATTTTGCTACCTGAAAAGGTAAAAGGTAAAGGACCCCTGGACGGTTAAGTCCAGTCAAAGGGGTTGCAGCGCTCAACTCGTTTTCAGGCCGAAGGAGCCGGCGTTTGTCCACAGACGGCTTTCTGGGTCATGTGGCCAGCATGACTAAACTGCTACTGGTGCATGGAGGACCGTGACAAGTGCCAGAGCGCATGGAAACGCCGTTTACCTCCCCGCCGCAGTGGTACCTATTTATCTACTTGCACTGGCATGCTTTCAAACTGCTAGGTTGGCAGGAGCTGGGACAGAGCAACAGGAGCTCACCCTGTCACGGGGATTCGAACCACCAACTTTCTGATCGGCAAGCCCTGAACGTAAATGGCGCCCTCTCTGCTACAGCCAAGTCTTGCTGCGCTGCTCCTGAGATCCACAGGACCATAATCTTGACCCTATCATTGCTGGCCTCCAGACAGGAAGCATAAACAGTTTTGCCCCAGCTTGCTGTCTCTTTGCCTAAGATGATAGTAGGTGATCTCCAACAAAGTCACACTCAGAGCAGACCCCTGAAATCACCATAAGCTTGTCGATTAAATGGGTCGACTGTGAGTATGACAAACATTGGCTATCACCCACATTTTGTGAAATTCCTCTTGTTGTTTTACATTGTTGCTTAGTATCCACCCCCGAGGATGTGGACAGGCTGCTTGGACTCGTGAAACCAACCACCTGTCTCCTTGATCCTTGCCCATCCTGGCTAATAAAAGCAAGCCGGGAAGGGCTGGGTGATGGGCTCTGCGGGGTGGTGAATGCTTCCCTCTGGGAGGGAACATTCCCAGATCCGCTGAAAGAGGCGGTCATTAAACCGCTTCTTAAAAAACCATCTTTAGACCCGGCCAGTATGGCCAACTATCGCCCAGTCTCAAATCTTCCATTCTTGGGCAAGGTGATTGAGTGTGTGGTTGCTGAACAACTCCAGGTACGCCTGGAGGATGTGGACCATTTGGATCCCTTCCAATCGGGATTCAGGCCTCACCATGGGACTGAAACTGCCTTGGTCGCGCTGGTTGATGATCTCCGGCAAGCTAGGGACAAAGGTGAGAGTTGTTTCCTGGTTCTGCTGGATCTCTCACCGGCCTTTGATACAATCGACCATAACATCCTTCTGGACCGTCTAGAGGGGCTGGGAGCTGGGGGCACTGTTATACAGTGGTTTCGCTCCTTCCTCCTGGGCCGTGTTCAGAAAGTGGTGGTGGGGGATGAGTGTTCAGACCCCTGGGCCCTCACTTGTGGGGTGCCTCAGGGTTCCGTCCTCTCCCCCATGCTATTTAACATCTATATGAAGCCGCTGGGAGAGATCATCAGGGGGTTTGGACTGGGTGTCCATCAATATGAAGATGATACCCAGCTCTACCTCTCTTTCAAATCAGAACCAGTGAAGGCGGTGAAGGTCCTGTGTGAGTGCCTGGAGGCGGTTGGAGGATGGATGGCGGCTAATGGATTGAAGTTGAATCCTGACAAGACAGAAGTACTGTTTTTGGGGGACAGGGGGCGGGCTGGTGTGGAGGACTCCCTGGTCCTGAATAGGGTAACTGTGCCCCTGAAGGACCAGGTGCGCAGCCTGGGAGTCATTTTGGACTCACAGCTGTCCATGGAGGCACAGGTCAATTCTGTATCCAGGGCAGCTATCTACCAACTCCACCTGGTACGCAGGCTGAGACCCTACCTGCCCGCGGACTGTCTCACCAGAGTGGTGCATGCTCTAGTTATCTCCCGCTTGGACTACTGCAATGCGCTCTACGTGGGGCTACCTTTGAAGGTGACTCGGAAACTACAACTATTCCAGAATGCGGCAGCTAGACTGGTGACTGGGGGCGGCCGCCGAGACCACATAACACCGGTCTTGAAAGACCTACATTGGCTCCCAGTACGTTTCCGAGCACAATTCAAAGTGCTGGTGTTGACCTTTAAAGCCCTAAACGGCCTCGGCCCAGTATACCTGAAGGAGCGTCTCCACCCCCATCATTCTGCCCGGACCCTGAGGTCCAGTGCCGAGGGCCTTCTGGCGGTTCCCTCATTGCGAGAAGCAAAGCTACAGGGAACTATTCAGAAGGCCTTCTCGGTAGTGGGGCCCGCCCTGTGGAACACCCTCCCATCAGATGTCAAAGCGATAAATAACTACCTGACATTTAGAAGACATCTTAAGGCAGCCCTGTTCAGGGAAGTTTTTAATCTGTGATATTTTATTGTATTTTTGGTTTCTATGTAAGCCGCCCAGAGTGGCTGGGGAAACCCAGCCAGATGGACGGGGTACAAATAATAAATTATTATTGTTGTTGTTGTTGTTGTTGTTGTTGTTGTTGTTGTTTACTAGTTTCAATTGTGTTTCTTGGAAGCCCCCTGGAATATATTTTATACAGAAAGGCAAAACATAGATTAAATGAATTACAACACTTCTGGAATATTTGCTGTGATGGTATGTGTTTTTTTAATACTTCTTAACAGCAACAGCGCTGTCATCAATACAGACCAGAGTTATTAAGGGCATCTCCAGACAACCTGTTATTCATTATTCATCCTGAATTGCTTCCACAAAGTTTACATGCAGGTTAGATTATATCTAATCTTTACTGAGCATTTGTTCTGATTTGTTTGTGGGGAGGTTATACAATGATGACCATTCATTCTGAATCCACCTTGATTTCCTTGTGTAGTATTTATTTACTTTCTGCATTCATCCCACACTTTTTCATGCATTCTTCCAGCATTTTAAAGGTAAAGGTAAAGGGACCCCTGAATGTTAGGTCCAGTTGTGGCAGACTCTGGGGTTGCGGTGCTCATCTCGCTTTATTGGCTGAGGGAGCCAGCGTACAGCTCCGGGTCATGTGGCCAACATGACTAAGCCGCTTCTGGTGAACCAGAGCAGTGCACGGAAACGCCGTTTACCTTCCCACCGGAGTAGTACCTATTTATCTACTTGCACTTTGACATGCTTTCAAACTGCTAGGTTGGCAGGAGCAGGGACCGAGCAACGGGAGCTCACCCCTCACGGGGATTCGAACCGCCGACCTTCTGATCGGCAAGTCCTAGGCTCTGTGGTTTAACCCACAGCACCACCCGTGTCCCATTCCAGCACTTTACTAACCACAAAAAGTATGGGGATATGGTGGAGAGATAAGGAGACTTTGTTGTGCCAAAGCAACTGAGTGCTTTAAAATCCACTTTATTTGCTTAAACCCAGATTTCCATTATACACTTGAATCCCTCCCACAAAATAGTGACAGATTGCACACACACACACACACACACACACACTTTTGAAAAGAAATGTGTTATGGTTTTGTCATGCATGCCTACTACCCAGGCCCACTTGTTGTTGTTTTCAATTATAGCCAGAATGTAGGACCAGGATTTTTGGCCTCTGTGCAGTTTCGGTGAGCCCGTGGCAATAAAGCATCACTGAAAAATTGTTTCAACTCTTCCACCTGTTCAGAGAAACCCCGGCAACCTTTCCAAGCTGAAATTCAGTGCAGTCACAAGACAAATGAGTAACTGCTATTAAAAGGCCAACGTATAATATAACTGCTATGATCATGTACTCAGTAGCATCTGTGCTTCCCTATGGCTCAGTATCAATTCCAGGAGTTCCCTGACAAGAAATGCTGCCTTTATCTTGGATGCTGCCCTACTGTTCTCTCACAGACTATGCAGAACCAGGGCCGGATTTAGGTCTGATGAAGCCCTAAGCTACTGAAGGTAATGGGGCCCTTTATATGTCCAGCTGTCCTTTGTCCACAACAAATTGTCGCTGTTTTTGTGTGTGTTGAATATATGCTATATGGTAATTTATGGACCTGTGGGTTAAACCACAGAGCCTAGGACTTGCCAATCAGAAGGTCGGCGGTTCAAATCCCCGTGAGGGGTGAGCTCCCGTTCCTCGGTTCCTGCTCCTGCCCACCTAGCAGTTCGAAAGCACGTTAAAGTGCAAGTAGATAAATAGGTACCGCTCCGGTGGGAAGGTAAACAGCGTTTCTGTGCGCTGCTCTGGCTCGCCCGAAGCAGCTTAGTCATGCTGGCCACATGACCCGGAAGCTGTACGCCGGCTCCCTCGGCCAGTAAAGCGAGATGAGCGCCGCAACCCAGCCAGATGAGTCAGCCACAACTGGACCTAATGGTTAGGGGTCCCTTTACCTTCTAATTTATGGACTTAATAGGTCCATACACAACACAAGACACTGTTGCTGTATGTAGGGTTTATTTCATTTTTTTTATATCTTATATTTTGGAAATGTACATCCAGTTTTTTTGTCCTTTACATTTTTGCCAAGAGAGTGGGGCCCTAAGCTATAGCTTAGAATCATAGAATCATAGAATCATAGAATCATAGAGTTGGAAGAGACCACAAGGGCCATCGAGTCCAACCCCCTGCCAAGCAGGAAACACCATCAGAGCACTCCTGACATATGGTTGTCAAGCCTCTGCTTAAAGACCTCCAAAGAAGGAGACTCCACCACACTCCTTGGCAGCAAATTCCACTGTCGAACAGCTCTTACTGTCAGGAAGTTCTTCCTAATGTTTAGGTGGAATCTTCTTTCTTGTAGTTTGGATCCATTGCTCCGTGTACGCTTGTCTGGAGCAGCAGAAAACAACCTTTCTCCCTCCTCTATGTGACATCCTTTTATATATTTGAACATGGCTATCATATCACCCCTTAACCTCCTCTTCTCCAGGCTAAACATGCCCAGCTCCCTTAGCCGTTCCTCATAAGACATCGTTTCCAGGCCTTTGACCATTTTGGTTGCCCTCCTCTGGACACGTTCCAGTTTGTCAGTGTCCTT